AATCTAATGACTGTTGGCGCCTTTAATATGCTCTTCATTTGGATTCTTTCACTGAGGTAAATCATTTTGTAAGAAAGTGGATAATAAGCAGAGCACAGTTGATACCAAACTTATATTATTCTGTAAAACGAACATTAAAAACTACTGTTTCTCGCATACTGGCTATTTACACGGAGTGCAAAGTTATAATTTATAATTCTTGAAAATTTTCGTTCGCGATATATTCTTCGCTGTCCTTTCGCAATGTTACCATCATAGAACCAAAAGTCATCCCGAGTATTTACGCAGAATATCAAGGAGTTAAATGTTTAAAATTTAACTTCATTATTTTATCATACCTCAAAATTATTTAATTTATACTTTCTTCTGTAATGTACTTACTTCAAAGATTAGTATTGTTTACGCTTCACAACACGAAAAATACTTATAAGTTGAAAAATAAGAAACGCACCATAAACATTATAATGTAATATAATATAGTACTTATTGAAGTAGTTATATCACACTACGGCTATAAGCTAGAAATAATTTAAAATACAATTTTGATCGTGTAACATTAATATTGCAATTGAATATTAATTTTAGTATCTATTTTATGTTTTGTATTTGTATTTAAACTCTTTTTAATTAACTTCATTTATTAAATTTACATCACCGTTTAAGATCGTGGATGTAAACGTGTTTCATATTACCTAACAAAATAAATCTTCCGCTTCGTGTATTATTTATATAATTCATTGAACTCATTACTCATTACTCCAAAACTTATTCTTAAACTTATTCATAATTTTAAATGTATTTCTGTATGAGAAAAAAATCTATGTACCTAATTTTATTTGTAAAATCTGTCGATCAAACATATTTCCAAATAACCTTGTTTTTTTTTAAAAATTCTATATATTTTACGCAAAACAATATCGCATTACAATCTAAATAATATGAGTAACATGCTAACATGTTATATACGCAATATTTTAAAAAAAATACATTACACGTCAATCAGGATACTTTTACTTTTACACGTTATTGGAAAAACTAGAGGTTATTTCCTTTAAGAAGATATAGGTCAGGATATACTAATAAAATAACAATCGATGGTGGTGGTTGTATTGAAGTGTTTTATTTTTCTATGAATAAATAATTTATACAGGTATATTATAATATTATAATAAAGTGTCCAAAAACAGACAGTTATATTATTATATTATACGTATTAAGATACAAATATATATATATATATACTAATTTGGCCTAGTATACGCGTACCACGGTGGTATGAGAGCATTGAGAGGCCATTAATCAACATGTTTCAATCGTTCGGTTTGCGTCAATCAATTTAGAAAACCCTCTAGACAGTGTAATCTAAGCTTAGTATTAATAATATTTTTACGACAGAATTTACTTCGGGTTGTTTCACGCTGGATGAAATGCAATAGAAATAAAATATCCGACAAATTTACCGTGAAAATAAAAATTGAACAAATATATAAGACCACTGCTATTACTTAAACAGATATAAGATTAAATGTACCTGCAGCGATGGATAAAAACCGTTTTCAATTTTGGAAGCGCATAAGGCAAAAATCCCGGTAATTTTAAAAATGACAATGACAAAAACAATCTTATTACTCTTTATTTTCGATCATTATACTAATACTAGTGATAATCCTATTATTAACACAGCAGTACTATAAAAACAAAAGTATTAACTATTTTCATAGAATTTAAATTTTTTTTTATTTCCGGTCAAGTATAACCAAAACGATTTTAAAATACATATTTTCTAAACTTCTAAATATCTAAATGTTAATTAAACAAACATTGCTTATATGATGTCGATGTAAATATTTCAAATCTAAAATTAAAACTGCGTTGATTGTTATTAACAAATTTAACTAAAATGGAATTGGATTTAAAATTTTAGACACTGTTAGAGAAAACTCGATGAAAGGTTTATAAAATTATTAATGTATATGCAAAGCAGTAAATACCTATTTAATATCTTGATTTTAATATAGTGTAATAGTTAACAACTCGTAAAATATATAATTTTAAAACTATTATGTTTTGTATAGTTTCAAAATATTCCTTTAGTTAACAATGTAGCTCATTAATCATTACTCCGTATGAGATCAATAACTTATTTTACGTATATAAAATATGGACACATATCGATAAGCTGCAGCTATTGCAGAGGAGAATAAACATGTATAAGAGTTCAGCATTTTGAAAGCAGGTAGGGAAAAAATTAATAAATAACAATAAGTAGATATGGGAGCTTTGATAAAAATGTAATTATTGAAAAGCAAACTGCAGTTATAAGGGAGATGAGTGAAAGAAAAACGAAAAAAAAAGTTATTAAAAAATACAAACAAGCTGAACTCGACTATAGTGAAATAATTATTGGTATTCTTATTAAATATTAATTTTCTTACTCGATTTTCTGTCGGTAAGGATAAAAAACTTTTAAGAAATTTAAATTCACCGTCGTAATAATAAGTTTTGAATTAATTACTTAGATGAATAGTTACACAAAACTCAAATTAAAACGAGTGGCAAAATTCGATAGTTATAAAATAATGTTCATTATATAGGTTTCGGGTCGGTGTCTTGATTAACGTTTTTGTCAATGTTGAAAAGGTCCATGTAGATTTACAACAAGGACAGGAACTTTGATGAATTTTACGGCTCCGGTTCCGATTCATAGAAAAAAAATCAGTTCCGATTTCGATGTCGTTTCTTAAAAAATAAAATTTCGGTTGATTTTCGATAAGAAAAAAAAAATAAAAAAATATTAATTTCCGTTTTTAAATTAACAAACATTTGGGTTTCGATTTATTTTCAATTTTTTAAAAATGAAAAATTCGTTTTGGTGTTATACTAATGTAAGAAAATTTCTATTTAAAAATTCTATTTCAATTATTTAAAAAATATAATAAAATATTAGTAGTGTTAATTGGCGTCAATTATGACAGTCAATAACAATTTTCAACCATATATCCTACGAATAACTTAGGAAAAATGAGAGGACTAAACAAATAAAAAATTTACTCATCACTGTCACTTAATGCAAGACCATTTTTTGTTTTTTTTTAGATTATACTCTTACATTGATTGTATTGTATAATTTTTAAATCACCACTTATTAGGTTTATCAGTATTCATTATTTTAATGTTTATAATATACACAAATCTTTTTTTTTTATAACCGCATACTAAATTTATTTAAGGTTAAAATTGCGTTCTGGAGTTTCAGTAGATAGTACATAAAAAAATCAGTTACACTTTCACAGGATTTTATACTAATTATTTTACATCATAGATATGAAATAATTATAAATATGTACTTTACCCTAAAATAATCTATGATGTATGAATATTAAAACATTTTAAACTATTTAAAATATAATAATAAATGTATTTTTGATGTTTTAAAATAACCATGATCAGTAGGGTATTTTCAATTTTTTTGTGGGGAGGCTCAACATTTTTAAAAAATAATTGATTTTACAGCATTATAAAAATTCATTTAGGCTATAAATTATTAGTTATATTAGTCTAATATTATTATAAATACTAATAAAGAGTTAATTACAACAACAATATATAAATTAATATTCTCTTTCTCGGTACCTCTGCAGCAAGTAGTTTATGAATTTTGAATTTTTTTCTTCTTTTGGGAAGGTTAAGACACGGAAACAACCACTCCCCCCTTGAAAATACGCCACTGATCATATAATGTATAACTGGAAATAATCAGACGATAAAATAGGTTACACACATCCGTGTTTTAAAAACGCAGCGTTTTAACGCCGAAAAATGAAACTTAGAATAACAAGAATAGAATATTCTTTGTTTATCGATTATTGAAATCTCATAGTTGTACGACAGTAATAAAATATTATTTATGTTATTATGATAATGTGTAAGCAGTGTGATGTCTCACACATTATTTTTATTATTAAAGCTATGAAATGATGCACTCCATGATACCCGATTGAGCAAGGTCGTTATCGGCCGACCTTTTTAACGACCCGATTGAGCACGGTAAAAAAAAATAATATTGTGTACAACGTTGTCAGATTTTTACTGATATGTATTGTATGTAGATTATTAATAGGAAACTAACTATTAGTCAAAAAAAAATTTCTCTATCGATTGATGAGTACTACGGAAATTTAAAATAACTTTGATAGATAGGAAACCAGAGTTTTATCTACAGCCACTGTTATTGTATATACCTATGCTATAAATAATATCCAGTCTGTTCTGTTGTCTCATGTTCTCGTGTTATATTCCTAATTGAACGTATATTTTGCAAATTTAAATGGAAAATAATGAAATAAAAATTATTTTATCCAAGAAAAGCAAAAAGTTAGCTAATATCGGAACTTTCAAATAAATGTTTATTGGGATAAGAAAAAAATGGTAAATTATTGAAATATTCTACGGTACTAAAATGACAACGTTACACCTATTTTCATGCTCAATCGTGTGGTTTTTGGGTTTTTTTTCCTATTGTTTAATTGCAACCATGCTCAATCGGGTTCCAGCTCATGCACTAAAATCTCTTTGAAACGCACTTTTGTGTTAAAAATATCAACATTCAAACTTAAAATCCCAGTTTAGTTACTAAACTTATATTCATGTACAACTTTACAATTATTAAAACTCATATTTACGAAAAAATGAAAAAAATTCCCCTAGCATTCTGTTAACGGGGCAATACCAATTTCACTTCTTGTGTCGAATACACCTAACCTAACAATATTTTGACAAGACGATTTCTTAAGTAGTAGATCAATTTTCTATTCAATACTATTTAATTGCTCTATCATTTATTTAAAATAAATTGGTTATGTTATGTAATTGAAACAATAATACTAAAAATGACCCTGATAGAGGAAACGTACACACAACAACGATTCATCAAGCATGCGAAAGAGAATGTTACAAGTTACAATTATGTTGATATTTACGGTGTATATTTCGTTTTACAGGTCTTGTGGTACAGAGACACGTTACAGCTGGATATGACTGAATGGCGAATCACTGATGTCAGAGGTAACCGATACACGTTAGGCCTGAGAAAAGTGCAGAAAACTGATTTTGGAAATTACTCCTGTGTGGCTGATAATGGACTTGGCAAAAGCAAACGATTCATCGAAGTGACTGGTAAACAAAATTTAAATTAATATATAATAATGAATTCGTATTTATTATTTTTATTTTTATTTATTATATTTTAATATTTTGCAACCAAAATATTAGATTATAGTTATAAAAAAAAATCTTAACAGTTTTAAATTTAATTCAGTCTAATATTGAAGGAAATGTACCTATTGATTTTATTCTATAATAAAATAGTCTTAAAAAATTTTAATTAATTTTTTAATTGAATAAAAATAAAATAGCTGCTTAAATAATGAACTTATTTAAATAACTGCCTTGACTGTCTGAATACATAATATTATGTTGTATTTCGTTTTATTTTTAATTTTTCTACTTATAAAATGGCTTTTTTCAAATAATATTTTTATTCATTGTTGCTTTTTTCACAAGAAAATTTATGTATTCAAATCTGTATTCATGACATACTTTACTTCTTAAAAAATAATTGCCCACATCTCTTTTTAATTTAAAATCAACGATTGGTGAATCTTTCAGTCTAATTATTTCGCGTATGACCACGTGTAATATATTCATGAAGTAAAACTCGATAAAATAGAATTACAGGGGAAACATCACAATACAACAATAGTTTAACTATAATTGTGGGTCTATGTGAGTAATTAAATTGGTATACCGTAATGCCAATATAATTTATGCAAGATAATGTTGGGGAAAATGGCTTTTGACAACGGACCTTGGGTTTTATATACATTTTAATTAGTTTTAGACTAAAAATAAGTTGATTACGTTGTCAACATTTTCTAGCGAAGAGAAATCGTCTTTTTTCAAACATGCAACGTGTCGGCTTAAAGTGCATATACAAATGACAATGTAATGGATAAAATTCAAAACAATACTCTACCGATGTATCATTGTGAACAAGCAGCTTGTTTTAATACCCGTCAGGGACGTCATTTGTGGGGGGGGAAGAATATGCATTTGCCCAACCTCAGATTTTAAAGTAACTTTGGACCAGCTGCCGGGTTCACATTAAGGACCGTAATGTAACATTACAATACAATACATACAAATCATTATGAGTTGATGAATGAAATCGGTCTTAATTTCTTATCAGTAATCTACTATAACATATAAGATGATTACAAAAATACATGAAAATTATTAAGTAATAATAAAAATATTAACTGTAATCAATGTAAAGAAAAAATAAATCAAAGAAAGATTAGTCAGAATAAAAATCTACTAGCTTTTTATATGGAAACAACAATTGGTCAAGACAAATTATTCAGAGTTAAAACATATTTTTTTTCAGTAGTTAATAGAGTGGTGTGTAAAAATACCTAAATCTTCGAATTTTGAAATTGCTTGTAAAATAATTGTTTTTTTTTCTTGTTTTGTGAATGAACTAAAAATCGCTTCAATGATACAAATAACAATCAACGTTGTTCTTTCCTCTAGCCCTAAACTTTTTAATTTCAACTACCCATTTCTTGATGATTTTTTATAATATTACAGTCACTTTAATATTAATAAAATCAAATTGAAATCTGAATTTCATTGTTCTAAAAAAATGCTCGCAGGTGTTTTAAATAATAACAATGATGATGGTTCTCATGATATTTTTTCTATTTCTAAAATACTACTTCAATCGTCTTAAATTTACTCTAAAACAATAAAAACAATCATTATCCTTATGACTTTACCTGTTTTCACTATATCTAATGAACGTTTTTTATTTTTATATTAAACAAATAAAATCATGTTTAAGACTAACTATGTGTGATGCTCATCTAAACAATTTATTTATTATTGCTATAGAAAGCTTTAGATTACATTTAGATGAAACACTCAACATTTTTACAAACATGAAAAATAGCAGTTATTCATTGATATTATCAAATGACTTATATTATACGCTTTTATTATTTGATATTTAAGTTCACATATTATGCATGTATATGGCTATTGTTTTTATTTAATGTCCCAAAGAAAATTTTAGTCTAAGCCTAAACTAGTTTTAGTAAAAACATTGATACTGTTGCGGGTGGGATTATCCTTTGCATATGAACCTTAAAACTCGCTGCGAAAATAAATCACATGATTCGACTGTTAATAAAAATAAATGGTGAATAATTAGAAGTGAACAATAAAATAATTTTGAATTTATAAATAAAAAATATAGAATTATATAATGAAAATAATATAAACAGGTATGAATATATAAAATGTTTATATTATTTATAATTTTATGACATGCAATTTTTTCTTGCTAATTATTATAATTTTAAAAATATTGTTTGCGGAGTTACGATGCTATTTTATAAAATGGCGCCGATTTGAGTACAGCTACAGTATTTCCAACTTGAATGAGGATTATATATATATATATATATAATAGCATATGGTAACAAAAGTGGATGTAGTTTGCTTAATATAAATTATTTAACAGTATTCAGATATATTTTGATGATTTAGCGGGGAACTTATTTAACAACATTAATCATTTTATTCTTATTGAACTGTTTATTATTATTCCTTACCTTTGCAAATATTGAAATGACGTCTCTGATATCCATAACAAACATTTTATTTGTAATTTTTCTTTTGTTAATCTAGGTATTCTAAAGCCGTCAATTATATTTTGTAATTAATATAAACTTTCATGTTTTCGTTAAGTCAATTATGTCGTATACATACAAATTTTAAATGTTAGACACGATTTGAATCGACCTGTGTACTATACATACAAGGTAACAGTTGTCTAATTGATAACAAAAAAATAATTTGTTGGGAAATAGTAATATGATTGTTAAAAATGAATTAAATTGTATATAGTTTTTATATAATCCTTCGGTAGTAATGATTAAAAAATTAATATAACAGGATTCAAAATCTCTGTTGTACAATAATAATAACAAATGTTATATTATATAATATAATAATTATAATATATTAATTATATAATACATTCATAGAAATCACATTAAATTGAATATATATATTTCAAAGAATTACATCAAATATATGTATAAATATTTTGATTAATTATAATTGCAATTTTAAGACGAGAAAGCGTATAAATGTTGTAACTGCATGTATTATTTTCCCTTCAAAATAAAACTCTTCTCCGCTATTGTGTTAATGAAAAGCGCATATCCAAATCTCCTTTAGAACGACCGTTTTAAAGTAAAACGTTCTTTCATGCAAATTAATAATCATCGATTGTAAGATTTCATTATAAAACGAGAATTGCTAATGGTTCAAACAAAATCGAAATCCTTTATCTACACATGTGAATATCAATAACCTGGGGATAACACGTATCCCGCCGTCAAATGATTCATTTTTAATACTTCAATTACGCATGCATTGAATTATAAGCCATACTCTTTCCAAAAATTAACATACTCTAAAAACGTATGTACGTAAACGGATTATCTGACTGCAGTTCTGCGACTGGCATGTCCTTTTATTAAAATTTTGGTGACTTCTATTTGATAATATTTTTTTCGTGAAAAAACTAAGACCTAGAAAACCCTTCGTAGTATATGATAGCTTATTTTGCCGAATTCATGGAAATTCAAGTATAAAAAACTTCAGCAAATGAATATGAATTCTTTTTATTTATTTATCAATATTATAACGTTATTTCAGTACTAAAATGAAAGGTATTTTAATAATAAATACATTATAATATGTACGGGAAAACTAAAAGGAGATATTCCCCTTCTGAAAGGATGCCCATTTTTTTAAATATAAATTGAAATAATATTTTAAACACTAACGGTCTAATGTTATTTTAATAATTCAACCATTTTACTTTTGTTTAGTCTTAATGATTTATTTTTTCATTTTCATATTTATATATTTAAATAAAAACTAAAATATTACCATAAGCCTCATATATTACTTGCCTTACCCAATTATGTTTTGTATTTTCGTTTTAAAATTATAAATAAATGAGCACGCACTTTTTCAATAAAATTTTAATCAACGATGTTCAAATGAGTCACATATTGGTAATTGTAAATTTCTGTAGTCTGTAATGAAACATTCAAACTGAAATAAGAGATACACTAAAAATACATAAACGAAGTGTAAATAAGTTCAAAATATACTACGTGTACATTTTCATTTTTAAAAAAGTGACTTGATGTTTTTATGTAGCAATTGTTATTTATTTTTAACGTAATTACGTCTTATTTTCCACAGTTCTCATTAGATGATACTAACAACACAATCAACTGATGTGAAAAACAATGAGTAACACTGAAAAATTTTGAGACTTTTCAAAACGATATTTGGCCATCTGAAATCACTTTACATGTTCAACACATATATTTTTAAGCAAATCTAATTTCACCCATATATATTTATATATATATATATATATATATATATTGCCAAATTATTATATGACACGTCTTCCATGCTGTCGATAATTCATCAGCTTTTACTTTTTTCAAATGTTAATTCGATTTTTGATGAATATTTTTTTTTACACCAGATTTAAAATTTAGCCCTCCGACGTAAGAATACTTTCATAATTTCAGACTTCTCGAACTCTTCTAATTTGCTGACGTAATACGTGAATGCTCCCTAATCACATTCTTACCAACTGAGTAATTCAGTTCAAATATTACTATTAAACCTAAAAATTACATATATTAATAACAATTTTAATATTAAAAATATAATAGTACTTAATATTAGGATAAATTATAACAATTTTTTTTCTTTTATTTACAGGAAGACCAGACGTTGCAGTCATTACCAGTTCAAAACAAGGCCGTTCAAAAAATTCATACGAAATGTTATGGACAGTAAAAAGTTATAGCCCAATTTTAGAATACAAATTACTATACCGGCAAGATAGGACAAATAAGAGCAACCAAGAAATCCAGTACAAACGTCCCATGAGAAGAGTAAGTAACAATAATATCATCTTAATTGGTTACTCAAATAACTATAATGCAAAAATATATTAACAGACTCCTTCGGCCCAGTTCTTTTGATCATCCATTATTTTGGTTATTTAATAATATCCATTTGAATTTATCATCGATAGGACTTTAAAATAAGAAATTTAGCACATTTAATAACTAATATTGCAAAACCTCTTCACAACGGAATTTTCCATCAAAATATTAGTCTAATATCAGCTTCCAAGATTACAAGCTGGTTGTTTTTAACTCCCCCCCCACCTCCGTACTGTATATAAATAATATAGAAACTACTAGTATGAAATCATAACAATTATTTACGTTAAAATACTCAACTGCGAAATCTGCAAAATCAATGCGTTAATTGCAGCTTGGTAGCCCCGAACTACCGTCAAACGCTGTTTAATTTGATATAAATGTTTTGCCGCACGAAGAGACAATAAGAAATAAGGATTAGTCTCTGAACTGATTGAAGCGACCTTAAAGTTAATTCTAGCCAAATATTCGTGGTGGACAATTATTACTACGCTCCGTTAATTAGTTTACGAACAAATGCTGGATTCATAATTGTCCACTTCCGTGCGAGAGAACCGCAAACAAATTAGTGCATCGTAGTTAGTCAGAAATCGTTCCTCGATTAAATCAATTTCAAATCGATCGCCGGTTTAATGATGAACAAATCGAAATATCTTAAATAAAAATAACTGACATAAAATAAAATCATTTAACATATTTTATTTGACATATTTAGTTGAAAAATATTTTTCCCCGATATTATAAAACATTGGTACAAATTCTACATAAAGTATTATACAACAACATGCTACATTTTTTAGACAGTTCTAACAAGCGTTTTGTCAATTATTGTTAACCGTATAATTCTAAGAAATTAAATTTATAATTATTTCGGCAGTATAGCTTAATAATGAATCCAATGTTTTTATTTGAACAGCATAAGGCATTTTAAGACGTTTAACATACTCGTAAATGCCTACATTTTTGGTAAAAAAATAAATTCTACTTTTCTCCGTATAAAAATGCCTTGTTCATACACCAATGATTAAAATATAAGCATATTGTTATAACAGTAAGTACTTTTAGTGATGCAATTTTTTTACATCATCTAATAGTTGTTTTCGAAAAACACACAATGGCAAGATGACTAAAATGCAATAAAGTCCAACATATAACATAGCTCTACTTAAAATCAAAATTCAAATTCGCTTTCGTAGTATTCAATGACCAAATTTCAACGTGTTTGGTGATTGATAATAACGACGATTGACAACAAAGAAAACTAGGGATCGTCACATCGCCCGGTATCACATTTGTTTTATATATTACCTGGACACTAATATTTGGACACAATATATATTAAAACGGTTCTCCGAAAAAAAAAAACCTCGTCGCGTATCACTGTTCAAAATTATTACACCATTATTACTATCCGCATTAATTCCGATTAATATAAGCACCGAAAAACATATATGTGTTCCGACTGTCTGTATCGGTCCCCGAAGACTTTACTGGCAAATGGCCCTAATAAAATGCGAAAAATATGTTACTCACATAGCAGTATTAATTGGGGGAGTATTCTGACTGACAAATTTATGAACTCGTATTATCACGGAAGCCATAAATGTAGACGTAGCTATAAACCGATTTCAAAATTGCAAATCCTTGCACCCGGCTTTTACGTTTTATGACGTTTTGGGCAATTCAAAATTAACGCCCTCTGATTTTATTCCCTCCACCGCCAACAGCCGTTCTTATAATGGGCGAGCGCTGTTAATTGAACCGTTACATTTTTTAAGCTAAACACTAAGTATTATATAATTTATTCATTTCCATGACTATACATTATAATATCCTCGGATAGATACCCGCACGTATAACCAGATATAACGTCCACGACCTCACGTATTTTGTATGCCAGGGTAAAATCCAAACGTATTATACAAACGCGCAGACAGAGAGTTTAAAAAGAGAATCCCCTTTTTTTTTAATTTTTTCTTTTTTTTTTTCGTCAAGCGATCGCTCTATCACCCTTGCTATAAATACATGTATAATATATATATTCACGTGCATATATACTGTATATTACCATATATATATGTTAGTAGACTATAAAAAGACGAATGGTCCAAGTGTGGCGACGGAGGTGCGGACCTATTGAAATGTAATGTTTACAGGCGCCATCGAAGTCTCATAAAAATCCACTGGAACGATAAAGACATTTGCACACAACAACGACTCTCACTGTGCAATATAACGTGCTGATATATAAATTATTTTACGTCTTTAACACTGAAATATCAGTCGATTGCTCCGATACATTATTTCCGTTTCCCCGTCCAAGTGTCCTTCATTACAAACTATTATTGTACATCTGACCTCGTCGAGTTAAAACGTTTGTCTGCATCTAGTGGCGTATTTAGGAGATGATCGAAGTGAATAAACCAGACAGAAAATTCCAATGAACATGAAATTTTATTTGGAAAATAGTTATTAAAAACAATTTTGAAATAAACATAACATATAATTACACAAGTATCAGTTCAAATAGGTTGAATTTTGAAAGTTCATTGATTTCTATGACACACGAAAACAGATAACTGAGATAGCGGCGACTTTATCTAAAATAATAGTACTACAAGTATTACATTTACTATCTTTCACTTATTATTAATATTTCTCTAAAAATATTTCTCTATTTAATATTTATTGTTTAAATATTTTAGTATTCAACGTGTTGTGTCCTTATACGAGTACATAAATTAAATATTATATTATGTATTGAATATGTACTTAATATAGATAATAGATATAATTTATCTAATTTTTTTATCGACAAATAAATCTAATATTCTAATAATCTAATATAAATTTAATATTTTTATTATATTTATTTATAATTTTTTTATATATTTATTTGTATCTCAAATCTCATTAAGTCATTAAGTATAATTGTAGCCGTAATGATTATGAAAATTAACTGAAAGAAGTAATTTATCGAGACAGGTGGAAGAACTACCAGAAAATGTTGTCTCAGGACCAGTGGCATATATAAGTTCTCATTTCGAAGAGGGCCGATCATGTATTTTATTTTTGGAGGAACGGGAAGGGGGAAGCACACTATTAAAATTACTTGAACACTATAATACTTCTCGACTGTCTTTACATCATCAGAGAAATAAGAAACTCAATATTTTAATGATTTATAATTTTAAAAATATATAAAAACTATATTGTAATAAACAATTTTTTTATTAAAGTCACTCAAAATGTACCACATATTTTCTTTTAAAAATAAACATATTTTATAAATATAAATTCGCGACAAATTTTCAGAATAAGTCTAAGGTGTTTTTTATTTCGGGGGTAGCCTCGGTCCCTCCCCCTATGAATACGCCACTGCTTAGGACGTAAAATATTTAAATACACCCCTTTTTGCACCAACACTACGTATACAACATCTTAGCGTCTGTCGATCAAAACGTCCGAATGAGCCATGCGAAAAATTACTCGTAAATATTATCAACAATAAAGTTTGATAGGAATGGAACCTGTTATTATTGAACGTGTTATTCGTTTTGATCAAAAACGACATGATAAATTCCTATAAACTATAATTATATACCAATATACGTTATGTGACACAGAAATATACACAAAGTTATTAGGTTGTAATTTTTATTTATACTATTGATAAATTCTATACACACAATTTCTATATCATACTACATATGCTATTTAAAAGTAGTTTTTAGCTATTTTCAGACATTATTAAGATTAGAATTTGTGTGATTTATACACATAATTTATTTATGTTCATTATAATGTATTAGGATAGGATTATAGCTTCGCACTATCTCGAAATTACTAATAATTCAATACTAATAATACTAATAATTTACTAGCACAATATTCTACCGTCTTCATTGTTCTATTAAGTTTAATATTCATTCAAACTAAAAAACGCATTCAAGAATAGATTAAATCGAATGATTCAACCCGTATCACAATAAAATCATTTGCAATACGGTAAATAATTTGACACGTTTTTATCGCTTCAGACGCCTTTAAGGTAAAATGAAAACGATGTAAGATACAGATATATCGTGCAAAGAGAATGACCAACGGAAAAGTTAAGACGTAGGTCGACTATATTGTTCTATTTTTTTCTCTATTAATACTCGTTTCTCTTGCTACTTTCGATGCAAAATTTTACAGTGTTAACAACGAAAAAATAATATTTTTTTATTACGGATTGTAGAATTATTTATTGCTGGCGTATATTGGAAGGCGTATACTTATATAAAATATTGTCGCATGTACTGGACTAAAGTTTTTTTTATTTTTTTTATCGGTGTCCCCTGTATAATTATCGTAAGTTATAGACTAATATTTACGTTATCGATACCTTATAAATACATGTACATGTTGAAAGGGTAAAACTCCGCACTTGGAAATAATAACCATACCGTATACTTAAATTATTATATAATAATAACCTTATTATCATATTATGCGTTGTTATTATAACATACAAAAATGTATAGCTTCAAAAATCACGAGCTGGTATGGTTGTATTTTTACTACGTAGCACTATACTGTAAATATTTAATGGTTTTCGTTAAAAAAAACACACACACACTATCATATTACACAAAGGTCAAATACATCTTGCTTTGTATATACATACACATGTATATATAATACATATATATTTAAATCCATCTGGATTGTATATTTTACAATGTATTTTCTGTGTGAAACAAGACGAAAAATTTAATTCATATTCTTCACCAGAACCCAAATACACGCAATAAATGCACGTAGTGGCATCATAAATACTATTAGTTCCCAAGCTATTAATATGATTTGGTATTAAAAGACATTTTGTTTTTTCTCGTAATATGTTCTTTTTCACTAAGATGTTAATATCGATTCGAATAATTTACGGGGTTCGCTTTCGGTTAAAACAACCGTGTTTCATAAAACGTAGAGAATACTACAACAAAATTACTCTACTATGCAATTACTTTTATATCCATTAGCCATAGTGGCGTAAGTTTGAAGAGAACACTTCTGATTATGCAAATTTTTATCATCGTCAAATTATAAGGAAACTTAAAGTTGTGCTTTTTGAAATAAAATCAAATAATGCTACTCAAATTTTAATTTCATTTTGATATCATTTCAATTGTACATTTATCTGTTACAATCATAACAACATGTAGTTACGAGTATGTAATTGAAATTAATTAATGTTAAATAATTCAAATTCTGGGGAATCTGATTTATTTATGTTGTCAGCAGTTCTTTTTTTTTATCGAGTTCTGAGGATAGTTTTACATCCAATTACAATCTGTTGTTTTTTTTTTTCATTTATTAATTTTTTTTTCATAATAAACGGAACTCAACTACATAGTATCAACTGACACCATATTTATTATTATGACAAACAATTATCATGATTCATAAATTATATTTCACATATTATAAATTAATATTTTTAATTTTATAAATATTAATATTTGTATTATATTCATATATTTCAAAATTTCATACCATAGTTTATATTGATTTCTCGAAAATAAAATACAATATATTATAATCAGTACTTGATTTAGAAAAAATTAAAAGATACACTATTTTAATGAAATTAAAGCACTTCTTTAGTCCTAATTGCGATACCGTCCTTAATGTCTCATTTAGAAAAAATAAAAGTGGTTCACTGATTTATTTGAAAAACATAACAATAAAAAGATACTCAATTATTTTACACTCTCCATGTTAAGCATTGAGCATCATGCATATGTATTACATTGTTGTGGTTGCAACCTGAGTTTCACTTTTTTGCGAAATCGGTAGCGTTGCTCGTCACACATTCTTCACAATTATATTATAATTACATCGGTATTATTCCCAAGTTTCATTTCAAACCTTATTGAGTATATAAAATAGCCTTATTTAATAATATCATTTTCAGTGGGACGACGATTGGACCGAAATATTGATCAACCCTGCATCCACCGATCAATTGGAAAAGCGAAGAACCGAGACCATTCGAGGCTTGGACTCAGGCACTAGATACGAGGCAACCGTTCAATCCAAAAACCGCTATGGCTGGAGCGAAGTCTCCCAACCTTTCTTCTTCACCACCAGCACAAAGAACGGTAAAACATTTAACGTTATCCGACGTTGTTCAATTTTTTTACTTTTTTTATCTTGTCTTACGTCGTAATGAATGAATTCTAAACCCGTATATCAGAGGCAGATCGGAAACTTGCTTGTTTAAAGAAGGATGAATAAATATATACCAGGGGCGCAACCAAGGGGTAATGTGACCTCCCCCAAAATTGATAGTTAACTTTATTCCATTCTCTCCACCTACCACCTTCCAAAATTAATTTTTTTCAAATGTATAACCAGCCTCCCACTCCTCCAAATAAATAAATCATTATTGCACAACTGATAATTACTATTATTACTATTATATCTGTGATACTTTATACCTATGTCAATAAAATTATATATAATTATCATTAAAAAAAGCCTAATAGTGGGGGAAACAATCGCTACAATTCCATGTCCATAGTATGTCACGTTATACAGTGAAACCTCGGTATCTCGAAGTCGTAAGGGACCAAAAAAAAAATTCGACCTACAGAAACTTCGAGATACCGGAGTTCGAGATACCGAGGTTTCACTGTAACACGATAAACACCGCATTTACTAACATAGATCAAATCATTGCACTGTTTTCTCAAAAATCCCGACTGATAGTTTCAACTTTCAGAAACTAAACATTTTTATAACTATCATCTACTTGTGTATAAACTATTTTTAAGAAGACCCTTTGATCTAATATCACTATTATCACGTTTGTCCGGCGTCATTAACAATATTTTCAGTCTTCTCCAAACACAAAATAAATGATTTCATAATACATTTTTTCCATTTAATCCACCAAGTTCAAAACAAAATTGCAGACAAGATTTGTATAATTTCTTAAAAACTGAAGAAAACCAATGTTGATTTGTATTACTTAGGTACTTTGGTTTAGCGTTCTCACTTATCTTTCCCAATCACCCTCTCTCTCTTTATTATTCTTTTTTATTATCTTTATATTCCTTTACCAGCATAATTTTTATTTACACACATTTGAATTGATTTATCACATTTTATTAAAAATCTAATAGATAATGTAAATAATAAAAATAAAATATAAATTAGTTAGATAAATATATCAATGAATAGTGCAAATAGATAAATTATAATTTGATTACCTACTAAATTTTATAATTTTTACACGTAATTTGTTTTCTGTTTAATCTTATTATAATTATTATTTTTTTATATTATTAGCTTGTATCGTGCTCTACAAACACAGTATTTACAGTTATTAAACTTAAAAAATAATTAAATGTATTAATATGGCCAATTATAGTGACTCAAATCTGAAGAGCTATAAAAATTGAAAATAAATTAGGTATTAAAAATTAAAAACTAACTAATATTAACATACATTAATTTCAATAAGTACATTTTTTTAAAAAACATGAACATGAATCATTACATAAGTTATTTAAATACATTGTTGATTAATTTATTTATAGAAGCACACCCAGGAAATTCTGTTCTTTCCGGTAAGCTGCTTTTTATTAATAATCTTTTACTTAATAAAATTTTTTATTTTAATTTTTGTTTCTCAAACAGATCCAGAATTGAGAGACATGAGCATCACCGCCATCAACAAGGCTTCAAAGATGATCCAGATACCGTTGCTTTGCATTGTGGCTGTGATCACCTACTACCTTGCTTAAATTCCAAATAATGTACATATTTTTATTTTTTACATTTTATTTATACTTTTGTAAATATATAAAAAAAAATAGTTACATTTTTTTTGTTGAAATCCGTCAAAGTTATTATAATTTGCTTATTTGCATCATATTTTCTATGGATTAGTTCCATTATTTATTTAAATATTCTTCTAGTTAAAAAACAACAACATATTTACAGTAAAACTGATTTTGGCGTAATTTAAAATCACTTTCACGCTCCTTAAGCCCTCTTTTAAACAACAAAAACATTGTGAATTATTGTTATAAATCGTCTATGAAAACAATAATAATATATCCGAGATTTTTAAAACAATAATTTAAACTTCAGTATTTCTCTTTTAAAATAACATCCTACATTTTCTGTGTATACTACTATAGTTTATAGTTTAAAATAAAAAAACAAAATTATTTTCATTACATAAAATATAAAATCTATATAATAAAATATATTAATGAAAATATACTTCTTTTGTTTGATTTCAGTTCCATAGTTCCAGCCCTACTCTACCCTCTAGTCAATATTTTCACGGATACCCCTACACCTGGAAATCCATCACAACACATCAAAACCTCAACAAACACGTATATACTTCTTCATCTCTCTGTTTACTTTCCATACTTCGAATCTTCCCATCGTCAATAACTATGTGTTAAGTCGTACTGTTTAGACATCTTTCTAAGTTCGCTAATTACTTCAAGGTATCCAATAATCTTGTCACGTCTGCCACACACTCTGAATACATTTCAGTTATCATTTCATTTTTAAGTGATTCGGAGAACCATTCAGTTTTAAATGTTCCCATTACATTACGCTAGACAGCCTATAACAACCAATCGAGGGTTGTTCAATACGTTACTCTTTTGCCGGTTGATTAATGACCTCCTGTTCTGCATTCTTCGCTTAAAGCCAGATAGTAGAATAATTTCTTTAAAACATTCCGTACAGACTTCAACGGATCTACCACAGTAATTCCTAACCGACTGACATTCGTCGTATTTATTTATCTTTTATTCTAATGTTAATCCAACACTCTTTTCGTTTTACTTTTCCCATCATTTTCCTATTCCGTTTTCGTTTCATTCGTACCCGGATCAACGAAACTAAAATAACACTTAAGACTGTCTATTCTTTGTACCATCCTCTTCACCCAGCGTTATCATGAGAAAATTTTAACAAAGATCTACGAAAAAAAAAAACCAATGATCATAAAATATTGCTGTGTACAGCAAAACAGCTATCTACGAAAGCACTGTCAAGTGTTGAGAAAAATGTACGATAAATAAAGAACATCATGAATAGTGGAACGATAGAACATAATGCTTACGATGGAAATTGCGATTAAAATAAATTCGAAATAATATAACGACATTGCGCGCATTGGTTACCGACGACTGTGCGCCTCTAGTAGTGTCTCGACGAGGTATTATAATAATATATTTTATACACTCCGTACAGCCGTTTAGTAAAATACCATTTAATTTAATTATCAACGCGATAAAATAATATCATGTTATCAGCGAACAACATTAAATCTTGATTATACTCTCGAATGGCGATTCTGGGAATGTGTGTAACGAATCCTGTCGGCGGCAGTCTTGTCTTCGTAACAATATATTATTATATTGTTATACGAATCGACCGGGTGATAACAACGAAAAACATCCAAACGTACCCCATACATAAACAATGTTATATAGATCCACTTACGGTTTTAAAATCGAATATCCTATTGAATTACCATTACGAATTTCCCTAATGTCGGTCGTAATTAATAAAAGATAAAATTACAAAAAAAAAATGTTTCCTACCACATAAAATTATATCAAGCAAGCGAGTATTAAAACGCTATTCGCTATTGGATGGGGTTTTTTTTTTAATATACATTTTTGGTTTTTTACCACGGAACATTACAAAAATTCATATTTCTTAAACGACTCGACTGTCGCTGCACGTACTGAAATGCACACGTTTTATTGTACAGATATATTTCATGTGTACAATATATGTATACAAATGTATATAAATAAATGAATGAATAAATATAATACTACATAATGTAAGAAACAATAAACCTATTTGAACTATCACGATCAACGTATAGCGTTTCCTAAGAGTGTTGTAGAGTAGTAGACGTTCATTCGGAACGTACGTATTAAGTATACTATTATAGTCTTTTAAAACATAATTTTATAATATTTAAACAGTGTCCAGTTTCTAATAGTGACACGTTCTATTGGCATTTTTCGGTCGCTTCGGTCGGAGTTACCAGTTATCAGTACCTAGTTAAAGAGACTTTTATTTATATAAATTGTACATTAAGGTTGTATTTTTTTTATATTCAGTTGTGCCGAATACCTATATAACCTAACTTATGTGTGTTGTGCAAAAACAGCTAACACATTTCAAACATTGTCGAACGTTAAAGCTATTATAATTATTTTTTCTTAATTTTGGTCTCGACGTTATATTCCAGAAACGATTTAATTATAATATTGAATCGCACCTAATACGACGTGAAACAACACTCGAACGTACAGAAATTCATTTCGAAAAGAGGAAATTAATCGAGGTACTGCTTTCAAGTTTTTTGAATCACAAAATAAGTTAACCAACAGTAAAATCTTAAAATAACATGGTTTTTGTTTCGTCCTATTTAATCATTGGAATAGTCGTTTGGATCATTTGTATTTCGATAAGTTACTATTGCTTCATTATGAATAAGGAAAAACTTTTGACATGTTTTTATTTTTTTTTATCTATCTAAGTATAAACCTTTACTCATATTTTTCAACGCTTTTATTCAACAAAAACCTAATACCTAAGTCAGTTTTTGACAAATTCTTTATATTAGGTAAACAAACGTGTATATTTATGTTTTTATCAAATATTAAATATGATTCCGAAAGCTTATTGTATTGTTAAATATTTATTTTGCGTTACAACGTTTTCATTTATGTACATACCGAGTAAAAATTAAAGTTCCTTTCAATATACGAGTAGTTCTTCTTATTAGACGTGTGATACTCATGGGCAAACAATATTTTTGCGACTTTTACATTATACTATTACCTTCCCGATCTTTTACTCTGAAAAACAATCATTATTCATATACATCAAAACAAAAAAATATGTCTTGTTCTTCTATAAACAAATTCCACAAGCATCAAATGTTTTAAAAATAAAATACATTATACTTACTATTATTTTAAGTTAAATTAAAAAATACAAAAAATACATTTTTATAATACAAGGACTTAATATTTTAAGGTTATCTATTCAATCGTGTGCACTCCAAAAAAAGTATTCTTCATAATTTACATTTAAAGATTATGTAGAGCTTATAAATTGTGAAAATAATATTTATTTTAAATTTAGTGTTTAAGTTCTTAGGAAGGAATGAGTTTATTGGGAATGATCTTACTTAGTAGATTTGTAATTTTTAATATAATTTTTGTTATAATAAGAAGTAATTATTCATAAATGTATAAGTGCATTAACTATCAATAAATACCAGTTGTTATAATATTATAACTAAAATTATATATAATGAATAAAACACTTTAATACGTTACATCAATGCCAATTTAAAACCAATTACCGTACACTTATTTATCTATACATTTCTGAACATAAAATATCAAATAGCACAATCATTATTCATTCGAATAAAATTCAATTTTTTATGTGCTATTTTGTTTACACTTAATATCGAAAAAAAAGCAAATATTACTGATGAGAAAAAAAATAATTAAAATATTTAAAGTTCAATTTTCATTTAATAGAACACCGATAAGTAGAGGCTCTACATAAGTCACCTTGAAATTTTTTAATTATTTGATTTAGACTAATGTAGGTATAAGGTATATAATTAAAACACGATGAAAATAAAAATAGTAAAAAAAAAATCGCTTAGTTTGAAAAATTAGATATTTATAATATGAAAATACGTTAATAATACTCATTAGAAACATAACGCGTTCTCGTTAAACCAAAATCAAAATAGGACATCATAGGAGCTAAATTATAAAAACTTGGACTATGTGTTATATGAGTATAACCTGAGACTACAATTAAGATGTACATATACCATATATATTATTGTGAATATCCGCAGCTGGGGAATGTTAAACAATTAAAAAAATTAAAACATTTACTATTGAATGTTGATATACGTATTCATACGTATTATAGAACAATCCGGAGATGGCCAAATGGACGATCTCAGACAATTTCAAAGTCAAATGTTAAAGTTTAATTTTAGGCCACGCGCACGAAATTGGTCCAATAGTTCAACAAAATGTAATATCACACTTTAATTATTCCCAGATAAACAAAATAGTATTTTAATTATTATTTAGTAATTAATATAATTAATTAAAATAACTTCATGTATATTTATATAGTTACACTTTATGCTTTATACTTTCCCATTCTTCATACATCTATGATTTATAAATCTTCAGTAATAAAAAATAAATTTTTCATGGAATTTGATCCTCAAAGGTGAAGTATATTTTTAATAGATTGGTCATACCATCATAGTAGATTGGTTTAAACTATAAACAGTATATAAAATAGATATAACATATTTAATTTAGTCAACGAATTATGACTATTTTACCATACAAAAAATAATATTTTTAAAAAAATAGGAAAAATAGTTATAGTTATTGCAACATAACAGACTATCATGCAATTTTGTACTATCTACATAAAATGCTAACATTCCTACATTCCTAACATTCCACTTTTTTGTGATGAACTTTGTTTCGCATTTACATCGCGTATGTATGCCAACCAACTCATGAATTTGATGCAGAAATTTGCCTTGAGAAAATTTGTCGATCCATTAGTACATCTTTATCAGTTATACGTAGATCAAATAATATCGGCATTCAGCTGACATTCACCAATGACTTGTGGCAACAACATTAACCGGTAACTGTCAGCTTTCGCTAACTGCGGAAATTCACAGTAACATATAGATACGTTACAATTGGTAATAATCGTTTAGTAATTTATTATTGTTTACCGTACATCCCAACGAAAAAATATATGCATATATAATATTTGTGTCTGTTAAATTTTTTTCTGGTATAATATTTTCAACGTTTTAAAAGATTTATTATGCAATTTATATTAAATTTGATATATTTAGAGTTAGATTAAATTATCTTTTATATTCTTAACTGTACTATGAGTAGCGTTTATTTCGAATTTATAATAGAATAGCTGTTGTACATGATTGTACTCTGAAAAAAAAGTTATTAATTATAATTTTAGTAATAATATGTATTTTAATAATAATTGTATAATTAACTGTATAAACTAAATCTGTCAAATAATATTTAACTTGTTAATTGACCGCAGAATTTTTAATCGACATTAATAAATATGATAATTTCACGTTTATTAAACACCTATTGGAAAGTTCAGTATTGGTTGGCAAAAAAAATTCTTCTGATGCTGAAAATAGAATAAAAAGAGCGTTTCAGCTGTGTCGATTAAAATATGTTAAGCCTGAGAAAAAACAATAACAACAATATTATTTAAAAAATCATGTTTTTTCGTAGCGATTTGAAAACAAATTCGACGCGTGGTTACGTACAAGTTTAAATAATTATTGTTGTAGAGAGCGATATTATCACTACGTTTCACGTTGTAGTGCAAAATAAACCACCAATGGAACTAATAAGATCATCGATATAAAATCGAAAACACAATACACGATTACTGCTAGGACATTGAGACGATGCAAAGAAAATATCAAAAATGTCGATAAATTTGTGAAAACGTAAAATGTACATAGTTCTTAACGGCTGTTGGTATCATTTGTTCGTTTTCTGTTTATTTATTACAACATACATCGTCACGCGTGATTAAAATATAGCGCAGTATTTCGTTCTCGTGTCCACAAAAATATTTCATCTGAAAATACTCGTGTATACCTCTCGACGGTTTTCTCAATGTAGAACGTGTCAGCAGCGTTCTGAAATTAACAAGGATCACCCATCTGTACATATTAATCATGTAATGATAATATTATAATATTATTATTACGTACTATTATTATAACTTATACGTAATAAGATTTCGGTTTTTTTTTTTTTTTTTTATAACAATATAATCATAAAGTAATTTTATCGTGTGTTATATCATTAACTCGGGATGTACCAACCGCATTTAAAGTATACGGTATACACTTAAATATAAGTATAATATATATATATATATATATTTATACTT